TTTGTAATCTCTGTATTATCTAACGTAAACAAAGAATGAAGGTCCTAAAATATACATCTACAGAAAACAAAAACTCACATGCCTGTAAGCTGTAAAGCAGAAGACTGTATACTATTAGTGCTAGTTCAGACTAGTGTGGTGCGGTAACGCATGGGTATATATGAATTGTGGTGCAGTGCCATTTATTCTGAATGGCAATGCACAAATTCAGTATAAAAAGCACCTATGGTATTGTGCAAAGTAATACACAGTTCTGAACACTGTGTTGTGTGTTTTGGTGGGCTGCATTGCTTAATATTGTGCTAGTATGTTTTTCTTGCACTGAAGTGCATTTTGTAGCCTATTTATAATAAACAGACTGCCTTAAAGGAGAACTATGAGATGAGTGATTTCCACAATGAGACTGTCACAGGTCGGCTCAGTAGATCGGGAGGTGAGGGAACACATACCGGGTTCCCTCACCTCTCGATCCTGTCACGGCTCTCTGCCGTGACAGGGGGAGGGGCTGGATTCCCCTCTCCCCGCTCCGATCTGCCAGCGCTGACTGGCGGAACAGATGGGGGAGGGGGCGGGTACAGCTGGCTCTGCCTCTAGATAGGCAGAGCCAGCTGTCACTCACGCAGCTGGGCGGATCTTGTCATCTACGTCGGGATCCGCTCCAGGTGCGGCGTCTCAGTATACCGCGAGCTGTAGCTCGCGGTATACTGAGCTTAGGGTAACAGGAGGACGCTAGTTTGTGTCCTCCCGTTACCCTAAGGAGAACTATGGGGAAAAACACTGACCCCATAGTTCTCCTTTAATATAATGCATCTCACTAGATGATTTTCTTTTTACTCTGCCTTCATCATTTTAGCCTTCCTGGGCTCAGTGTTGACCATTTTTAACAACCCTTTCTCTATACAACAACATTATTTTAAATCATAACAATGACATTAAAAAAACAATAATTGAAACAAAACTAGCTTAGACAATGCAGTTGCCAGGAGCAAGTAATGCACAGCAGAACTTGCAGAATTAGTCAGTCAGAAGTATGTAATGTACAGCATAGTTTACAGAATTTGGCAGTCAGGAGTATGTAATATACCGCACAACTTACAGTGTGCAGAAGTCAGTGGTATGTCTGGTGTATGATGTATCCCCTTACACTAGCGGTTATTAGAGCAATGCCCCCCTACATTGCTGTTTAGTGTTTACTGAAAGGGCCCTGTTACAATGGTTGTCAGTGAAGTTCCCCCTTATATTGGTGGTCAGTGGAGATGTGCTCTGTTACACTAGTGGTCATTGTACTAAAATGTTATATTGTTGGTCAGTGATGTTTCCTCCTCACATTGGTAACCAGTGGTAAACCAATGTGAGGTGGTAAATTGGTAAATTGCCCCCTTACATTGGTACAGGGCCGTAGATAATTTTTTTTCCTGGGGGGTGGGGGGGTTCAGAACAAAATTTTGTGCCCCCCTCCACCCCAATCGACCTCCAACGAGCAGACGCATAATTTGCCTGCTTAATTGTGTGTGGCCACTATTTGTTAACTCCTGCAGGATGTCTCTGCACTGCCCATGCTGCCTTGAGCTAGTACACAAATGGGATCCCTCCAACTCCATCACCGCGGTGCCTGCTGGGAAATGGAGTTCCCTGAAGGGCCTCACTTGCCCCTGCATTGGTAGTCAGTGTAGTTCCCCCTTACAGTGTAATGCCTCCTTACATTGGTGGTGAAATTACATTGTTTAGAATTGCCAGTAAAATTAAAAAGCAGACCAGCTTTAAGTACGTTTTATTATCATTTAAAAAAAATTAGCATTACATTAACAGACTGCTTATACTTTATGGCTTCCCCACAGGTTTCCTCACTGTCTGCGCCACTTGCAGTAAGTAGTTTCTCTATACAGTAGCCAGACCAGGTAATCATAGCACAGCAGCTAATGACAAGTGAAGCTCTTCTCAGCGGGGGTCCACCTGTTTACCCAGTTTGAGATCCAATAATGACTTGCAGAATCATTATTTAACCTTGGCATCTGCAGAGGTTTTATTATATAATGCTGCTAATCAAAAATTAACATGCCTGTAAAAAAACATATCCTATAGCAACCAGATCAGTGGAAAATTAATTCTGATTGGCTGCACTTTGCCTTTTGCTTCATTTAATAAGCATTCCAGGGATGTCAAGCTTTATAAAGGCTGGTCTAGATGTAGTATTGGGGCTTCTTACTTATCCTAAATGGTTTAGTCCAAAGCACAGGGGTTTAACTAGTAATCACTGCCCTACCACAACAGAAAAAAACACCAGTGTACAAGAGCTTAATTGCCATGGCAGGTGACAATGGAATGAAGAGGACATGGCGGTGGTAATGAGGTAAGTATAGACCTGTTTGCAGCACAGTGTACAGAATGAGTCAGCATGGAATATTAAATGAACAGCATAGCATACAGAATGAGTCAGCATTGAATATTAAATGAACAGCACAGCGTACAGAATGAGTCAGCATTGAATATTAAATGAACACAGCGTACAGAATGAGAAACAATGAGATGTAAAATAGGGAATGTACAATATATCATGCTGCACAGAATGAAACAGTGCAGGACAGGAAATTTACAGCACAGCATAAAGGAAGAGGCTGTAGGGAATATAAAATATACAACAAGGCTTAAAGAATGAGCTGATGCAGCATAGGGAATGAACAGCATAGGATACAAAATGAGGCGATGCAGTATAGTAAACATATAGCATGGCATAAGGAAAGAGGCGATGCAGAATAGGGAGCGTACTGCATGGCATTTGGAATGAGATGATGAAGGTCAGGGGGTATACAGCATTGCATATTGAATAAGATGGTTGAGGCCTAGAGTAATAGGGAACATACATCATGGCAGATGGTTTGAGGTATTGCAGAATAGGTCATGTACACCATATCATAGGGCATGAGGTGGTGTGGCATAGGAAATGCACAGCATGGCATATGGAATGTAGCAGTGAGAAAAAGGGAATGTACACCTATGGCATACAGAATGAGGCTTGGCAGCATAGAGATTGCACAGCATGGCATACTGAATGGGGGTATGTGGAATAATCAATGTGCAGCATATCATACAGAATGAGGCTCAGTGGTGTAGGGAATTTACAGCATAGCATACAGAATGAGGCTTGGTGGCATAGGGAATATACAACATGCATACAGAAAGAGGATTGGTGGCATAGGGAATGTGTAGCATGGCATACAGAATGAGGGAGTATGGAATAGCATGGCAAAATAAATGAGGCTTGGTGGCTAAGGTAACATACAGCAAAGTGGTGCAGTAGTTATAAAGTACCTTAAAATGGATTACTTCTGCTGCTGCTTATGTTGACCCCATTCAGACCACTATTTATGCAGGAACTGCACAAGATTTGACAGCTCATTTGAACGCCACTATTTATACTGTCACTTTATATGAGACACGTCTCAAATTTACTACAACCAACATTGGTGTACAAATAAATTACCTACTTATATCACCATGTGATTTGTGGCTACCATTAATTTCAATGGCCCTTCAAAGCCCATGCTGGTGCAGCAAAATCATGCAGACTGCATTTGCTGTAATATGCTGCACTGTAGCTTTGAGGAATATGCAGTTCTGACAGTTTCATATTACAACTTTGATTTGCCTGTAGTATCTCTGTTGTGGCTGACTGCATTCTATTGCTGCAAACTGTTTTGATGTAACAGGGGCTTATATCTTATGCTACTGGGCAATTCATAATCTTTGTATTTTCAGCCTCAGATTACATGTAGATTGTATAATACACAAGGACATTTTTTTTTGCAGAAATAATAAAGTTACCATAGTTGCCAGATTTCCCTAATTTTTAGAGACAGACCCATTTGTCTCTGAATATGTGCTGCTTTTTAATCCTGAGTAATAAGGGATACACATATGTGCTGCAAAGTATACTACATTCACTACTGCAAACATAATGGCAACAGTTGTAGCCGTTTTTAAACACAAACTAAATACGGAAATCTCATAGATCCATTCAAAGAAAATCCATGCACTTGAAAAAGGTTGGACACTTTGGGGTTGATTTACTAACCTTATAAACACACCACAAACCTGTATACACCTTTGTAGTGTGTACACACCCAGCAGGTGTGTTGTGCAAAGCCTTGCATGAATTGCAAGGTGATGTTGTGTAAATTAGCTCTATGTTGTGTTGCTTGCGTTGATGAATGCATTATATATGCATCATGTGCATGATTTTTCCATATATGGCATTAGTGGAAATATGCTTTTAGAGACTTTTTGGTTGATAAATACGTTTTGCTGTGTGAAAATCACACGCACCTGGTGCGTGCGTACGTTTAGGTTAGTAAATCACCCTCTTTATCTTGAAACTATTAAACAAGACCCAAACCCAATGAGGTAGAATTACTATAACCAACCGACGTTAATTGCATACTTGTCAACTATCTGAGATGAGAAAGAGGGACACCTTCCAGCATAATGTATTTAGGAGATTGATACCCCCTGTCACACCACCCGCTATGTGGACCATTAAGAATGCATAGGCCAAAATTGATTGGTTAAACCAAAAATTGTTTTTTCCCTTTTACTTTTTCTTTATACTCACTATTTGACATAGGAAACAAGATACTTAGGATAAAATTATTAGTGCAAAACTGTATTGTTTTCAGTCAATAAGACCTGACTGGTAGACTTACATCATGAAAGAAGCGCAGTAAGGTACAGCCATGATACAAAACTACTAAGCGGAAAGCAGAGCTTGCATATGTACTGAGCACATATGCTCATATACCTTAATATTTAATAAAATAATTTGATTAATTAATTAATCACCAAAACAAAGGCTATTAAAACATGAACATTAAAAATATAATTTATATTAAGCTGAGCCCTTTCCATGTATATTTAAAAAGAGTATAAAGATTCCTGGTTACTACTTGTTAACACAAATATGAAAACAGCATAACTGTATTAGGAAAAGTGAAAGCAGGACTTACCTTTCTTGTAGGCCCACTGGTTTCATTTTAAATGGTGATGGTCCAGCAGAAAGTGGAAGTTTAACCTCAAAGGTGCCTGGACACTGTGGGTCTACAACAACATTGATGGGTTTAGGAATATGCTCAGGATGAACCATACTGCTGGAGCACTTTGCCTCAAACTGTGTAGGCTGAACAGAGAGAGGCGACAGGTGTATCTCTTGGGTTTTTTTGTCCTGCCTCAAAGATAACTGGATCTTTTCTTTTAATCTGTAGAGTACCTACAGAGATAGAATGTAAAAAGTATCAACAATTTTCTCCTCCTACTGTATAAACAAAGCAAAGCAAACAGTCACAAAAAATCCGAGCCACGCATTCAGAAAAAGCTTCATAATTTGTGCAGTAGGAGGCTTGTTTTCTACACGGTAAGATTTAATTTATTGTTACTGTTCATAAATACTGAATGCAGCCCTACTACATACAATGATCAATATAATATATCAACATTAGAATAATGCGTAGTTTAGTGTTTAAATAGCATGTTTTTACACAACAAGGATGCATCATGTAAAATACTGGAAATACTTGAACAAGCACTATATCAAAAATATTGTATTCTGAATACAGTATATATATAGCTAATGCATGCAATTATAGTGTTTAAAACGTTAACTCATTTCTTTAGTACACATATCTTCATTTATGTTTTTATCCACATTTACACGCCAAAAAAGCTACCTAGAAGAAGTGGCGGTGACGGTGTTGGGACTTACTATAACACTGTCAGGAGTGTTTATACATGTCTTCTTTTAGTTACATGGTTTAAATCAGCCTTTTTCAACCAGGGTGCCTTCAAATTATCGCATGCGTTTCCATGGTGTAGGCAAGCCAGCCATCAGTACCAGGGAAATCCAGGGCGGGCCGCATCCAGGACCTCCTCCAGCATTCAGAAGAGGACAGAAGTCCACCTCTATCCAGACCTGCCCCACATCCCACCCTTTGCTGTGCTGTCGCAGCCGCACTGTGGTGCAGATTAAAAGGTAGGACTCTTATTTGAAGGGGGGACTGAAGACTCTGATGTAAAGGGGATCCTGATGTGAAGGGGAGCTTCTGATGTGAAAAGTGGGACTCTGATGAGAAGGGGGGACTGTGATCAGAAGGGGGCCCCTGATGGGAAGAAGGGCTTCTGATAGGAAAAGGGGGACACTAATGTGAAGGAGGGAACGTCACATGTTTTTTGTTTCTTTTTTTGCATGGGGTCCTACCTAAAATCCAAACTAGACCCCTATCTAGGAAAAGTGTCATTATAATAGTCAGATATAGATAGGAACGTGCATCACTTGGTTCCCTACAGAGCTGAATCACCCTGCCATGTGCCTATAGGAAGTATAACATCTAAAGGAGAAATAAGAAAATACCATGTCCTAGAGATGCTGGGACTGCTGCAATTTACATAACTTCATGCCTTCATAGCCCTTGAGAGCAGCCATGACATGTATACAAAAAACTAATTAGCCGGTTGCCAGTAAAGCTCATCTGCAGGATAAGAACATCTCAGCAGGTACTAAAAATATTAACAATATTTTTGTACATGTTTACATCATGGTCACGCAAATATACTGAATATTGCAATTTTGGTGAAAGGTTTATTGCAGCCTCAGTGAGCAACAAAACCAAACACCAAGAACAGTGACTGGCTAAAATACTCTTTTTTTCTGCACAAGCCAAAATGTGAGATGTGATATCAGTCATACAATATGATCAACAAATCATTTGATGAAATGCTGAACATTAGATTATTGATCCCCACAGGGAAATACTCTGTATGCTGTCATAACTACCGAGTGCTATAAATATATACATAGCCTGGAAATGTAAATTCATATATTCTGATTAACATGGATGCCAAACCTTTCTGTAGCAGGTAAACAAAGATCTGTGTTGCATAACACTTCAAAACCATTTAGATTTCACTTTTATTTTTTACATCCATACTGTTGTGTAATTGGCAGTAAAGAGAAATGATTACATCCTGTTCCACTTTCAACCCATAGGAGAAAAATACATAGGGGCATATGTAAAAACACCCAAGTGAATCTCGCCTCGCTTTGGCTTCATTTATGCTCAAATGTTAGGTCTTTCTTTGGAATACCAGCATACGCTAATAAAGATTGTAGCCTAAAATGTTTACCTGCTGTGCACTGAATGTGGATCATGGAAGGGAATTGTGGATTTACACTGGGTATCAAAACTTAAAGTGGACCTTTAACTAAAAAATTACATAATTGTGCAGCTCTTTATACTGATATAACATCATCTTACATTCATTAGTTAAATAAAAAATTTTTTTATTTTACTTACAATTACAGTTTTTTCCCTTTTTGGTCCTCTTAGGCATTAGTGATGTAGCCCATGCCTAAGATATGCATCCTGGGAAGGTTACATCACAGTGCATTGTTGGGAAATCTCATTTCTAAACCTCAAAATCTCGCAAGATCGCAGGGAAAGGCATTTTCCTCCCCTGAGATGATGTGCATGGTCACATGTCCTAGTCACGTGCCAGAGTTCCAGGAAGTAAAGGGAGATCTATTAATCTGCCTTTGGTAAAAATGGTCCCTGTGAGAAGAATGGGGAGGAAAAGAAAAATAAGGTATGCAAATAAAAAGCTGGCAATTATCTAGAATGATCTACTTGTAGATTGCCATTACTATGATTATTATTATTATTATAATACAGGATTTATATAGCGCAAACAGTTTGCACAGCGCTTTACAATATAAGGAAGACATTACAATACAATTCAAGACATGATGGTAAGGAGGGCCCTGCCTGTGATAGCTTACAATCTAAAAGAGAGGGGCAAGTGTTACATGAGGAGGTAGCTGTGTGGGGATGAATTGTTTGAGAAAGTGATAGTGCAGTGGTTAGTTAGAGGTTGGATAGGCTTATGTGAAGAGATGAGTCTTTAGAGATCGCCTAAAGGCAGACAGAGTAAGAGATAGATGGACAGGTTGGGGTAAGGAGTTAAAGAGGATGGGAGAGACTCTGGAGAAGTCCTGGAGGCGATCATGGGAAGAGTTGATGAGGGAGCTAGAGAGCAGGAGGTCATTGGAAGAGCGGGGGGGATGGTTAGGGTGATACTTTGAGACAAGGTTGGAGATATACCCGGGGCAGAGTTGTGGATAGCTTTGTGAATGGTTGTTAATATTTAGAATGTTATCCTTTGGTTGACTGGAAGCCAGTGGAGGGATTGGCAGAGGTGGGTTGCAGACACTGAGCGGTTGGTTAGGTGAATGAGTCCAGCAGCAGCATTCATGATAGACTGAAGAGGGAATAGATTGTGTAGAGGGTAGGCCAATGAGGAGGGAGTTGCAATAGTTAAGACGAAAGATAAGCAGTAAGTGGATGAGTAACTTTGTGGTTTCATTGGTGAGGAAGGGGCATATTTTGGAGATGTTATGAAGGTGAAGACGGCAGGATTTGGATAGTGATTGGATGTGGGGAAGAAAGGTGAGGTCCGAGTCAAAGAGGGCACTTAGCAACTTTGGCATGGGGGGAGGGATGGATAGTTGTGCTGTCAGTCTCAATGGAAAAGTTGGGGGACGGTGCACGGGCGGGAGGGAATATCCTGTGCTCAGTTTTTAAAAGATTGAGTTGTGCTGTGACATCCAGACTGATATGTCAGTTAGTAATTTAGTGACACACAAGGACACCGAGGGGGTGATTTGTGGAGTGAAAAGATATATTTGTCATTGACATAGAGATGGTATTGGAAGCCATGTGAGGTAATCAACTGACCAAGGGAGGAGGTGTAGAAAGAGAAGAGAAGGGGTCCAACGACAAAGCCTTGGGGGACCCCAACAGAAAGAAAAGTAGAAAAGAGTTGACTGAATAAGAGTGTATTAATAAGAGTGACAAAATACATCTGTTTGACAGCATGGAGGGAGGAATTACATTTTTGGAGGGCAGATTTATACAGTGTGAAGTCTTGCAGGGACCTAGTTTCCCGCCATAGTTGCTCAAGAGCACGGTTATGTCTTTTAAGATGTCTGCTAAACATTTCTAAATGTGCCTTTGTTGTCATTTTAAACATAAGGGTGAAGTTCCTCTTTAAATTAATGGTTTACCTACTGAGTATGGCAGAATGAAGAAAAAATGCAGATGTTGGTGAATATTGGCTTATGTCTCTTGAGCCTGAATTTAACTGACAGACTACAGTCTGGCAAGACAACTGTAAATTGATCACTGGCTTTTTCTTTTTAACTATGACAGTTACGGGTTGATAATGGCAAATAGTCTTCGCAGTGGAAGTTTTCTCTTAGTTTAGTGAAGCTCTGCTGACTTCCATCATCCAATCACTGTTTTTTATTTCTCTTGCACATGATTGGGTATTCTCTACAAAATGAGTTTTCACAACATTCATTAAGCTAAGGGAAAAAAAAGTCTGTTTGCTTTTAAATCAGCCCCATAGAGCCAGCACTTCCTAATGCAGCTCTCTGTCTGGAATAATTATTAAAACTCATACTCAATTCATTTATGTTTATCTAATCTATTTTGTGAAATTCGCTATTTTAGAAGGAAAATTTTGAAAGTGGGCAAATCCCTTTAAATGTGAAAAATAAAAAGGGCCAGCCTTGTAACATGCCGAAAAAGAAATTAAAGTCACTCTATAGTAAAAGTAATATTACATTATATAAACTGTTTAGAGCTAGTTCAGCTATTGCTGATGAAATCACTTACAATGAATGATGTTCCTTGATATCTAAAAATTGTAGCGTCCCGCAGAATCAGCTAGTTCCCTGGACACTGTCCCTGATATTTCCCCCCCCCCCCCCCTTCTCCCTGCTTCTCCTTCCTTCTCTCTTCTCCAAGCTAGTAGATGGGCAGATGCTGGAGACTGCTCTGTTCCTTGTGATCCAGTACTGGACGGGAAGTTCAGAGAAGCTGAGCTGAAAGAGATGGAGCCAGTTGCTTGAAAATATGATGACTGCAAGTGTTTGGGTAAAAATGTAGAGAACTACTTTGCTTGGCAACATATATTTTTTAATTCATTATTGAAAACAAGATCGAGAGTTTAATACTACTTTAAAGTTAACTAAATATTCCATAATCAATTATTGCAAAGAACAATACTGTAGTGCAGTGCTTGTACAAGTAAAATGCTTATTGTTTAACAGCCTTTGATAATAGAAAAGGACTGTGAGCACGGTTTTGTAAATGTTTTCTGTTTCTTGTGTATGTAGGAGGAAGCTACGCCTAACAGACTAGATTCATTATATAC